GAGAGCTTTGAGGCTTGCGTTGGGTTGTGAAACATGCGGCATTCTGCACAACATTGGGGTGGCAAATCTGAATACACTTGCGCCTCTCCTTTCATGCCCAGCTTTAAACCCAACCCAATCAGCAACACAAGGACACCAAACACCAAAAGAACAAACTACAACGCTTGCTCTTCTCACGCCGGGCACACCGCTTTGGAAATAATAATCCCCGTGTGTCTGCAAAATGTCTGTTGCTTGGAGAAGCCATATCTACGAAAATGGGTGTCTGAATTCGACAGAAAACGTTTTCCGTTTTCATGACACGCTGGTCCAAATGTCATTGTAGTGGCAGAGTTGGGAGCGTCCACTCACGACATGCAGCAGCTACCAAGAAACATCATTTCTACAAAATGACATACCCAAACACAACGGCGCAACATGGCACGCACCGAAAGCGAGAGACATGTAGAACTTACTGCCAGCAAAAGAAGAAGCAATTTCTCCTGGCTCCGCATTCCTGGAAGGGTACGGGATGTGCAGGGACTCGCGGGGCGATTCCAAAGAGGCTTCCGGGGCAAGAGTGTGCGCGCCACAAAACTTTTTCTAAACATTTGAGTCAGATATGTGTATCCAAGTAGTTCGTGCTGCCTCATGGGGGAAGCCATTGCGCAGCTGACGCGCCATGCTACTAGGGAAAACAAGCTGGCGGCTCAGGCCTCGCACGCCTGCAACCAACTAGTTTGGTTCGGTTGCAAGCGCGGATAGCGGGGAGGGGGGGGCGAACCAGTTCGAGTTCAGTTCGAGTTCGAGTTTGGCTTCGTGGGATCACAGCTAGAGTGGATCACAGCTAGAGTGAGCTGAGCTTGAAGTGAACTAGTTTGGTTGGTGTGCGAATTCGGTTTGAGCTCGCAGCTCGGATCACAGGAGGGGGTGAACTGAACTTGAAGTGAACTAGTTCGAGTTCGGGTTCGTGTTCATACGATTGAGCGGGTTGGCCCGAGTTTGAGTTCGAGTTCGGATCACCTGGTATGAACTAGTTCGAGCACCAGCTGTGATCCGAACACGCGAGTTCGAGCCACCCCCTCTTTTCGCATTTAACCCATGAACACGAACTAGTTCACTTCAAGTTGAGCTCACGCCCTCCTCGACCCTGTGATCCCAGCCGCGGGCTCGACAGCTGGAGTGTACTGACCTCCAGCTTGGAGGTCGGGTTCGAGCCCGCAGCTTGGAGCACAGGAGCGGGTGAACTGAACTTGAAGTGAACCACTTTGGTGGAGCGCACGTGGAAACTCTACCTCTTGCTGCCCAGGCTCTTGATTTCCACGCTGGCCGGGGCGCTGCTGGGAACTGTGCGCCCTCTCCGGCCTGGCGCACGCTCCGCCACGCCGACACCTGCACGAGCGGGCTTGCGATCAGATTTGTCACAACGCCCGCGTGCGGGGTCTGCTCTCGACACGGCCCCGCGGAGCATGCTGCGCCGGGGGGGCCGCCCTGTTTGGCATCGAGGAGCTTGGCCCCGTGGCGTGGGGACAACAGCGGGTTGGTTGCCTTGGGCACCCCCATCGGGACTCGTGCGCGTAGGAGCGCCTTGAACACAGGAGCAAGGTTGCCGCAGCTGCCCGGCCTGCAGTCTGCGTGGCCTGCTCTTGTTTTTGCGCCGTGCCTGGGCGCGGCACTTGCGCCGCACTACGCCGCCTTCCTAGTCCGCGGCTTGCGCGCCTCGCTTTCCTCTGTGCAATGCTCTTGTGTGCTGCCCAGAGCGATGTGTGCGGGAGCTTCGCCGCGCCTTGCCTGCGCGAGGCGGCAGCGACCGGCAACCTGCTCCGGCAGTGCTGGCTCGAGCGCTCGTGTTGGCAGCAACTCCGTGTACAAGCAGCACCGCCCGCTTCGGCGGGAACCTGGCAATTGGCTCATGGGCGACAGCTTTCCGCGGTTTGCGCGCTTAACGCCCGTTTTTGCGAGACCGAGCTTTTGCCACACATGAGGCCGAGAGGGCGCCGTCGTATAGACAGTCGCGGGCGGGGGGTTGGGCATGGCGTCGCCGGGGCTGGCACGGAAACGGCCAGCGATGCGGCGCTCCGAGAAACAATTGCAAAAGAGCCTCCTGAGCCGAAGCAGGGATGTAACCTCCGTCAACTGAGCGCCGCTCTAAGACCCACAGACAGTGTAGGAGAACGTGTGTGCGGTGGCAGCTTGCAAGTAGGCTTGCGCGGACCATCATGAGCAGCGATGGCCTGCAAGGCTTCCAGACCAGCAAAGAGCTGCGACACCGGGACCGGAGACGGGAGCTGAAGAACGCACGCGCGCCAGCATGCAGACGTGACAGGGTGTGTGGACCACTGGTTGTCAACATCGGGCTGCAGCAGCCCCCCCCTGCCAAAAGGCACAAAGAGCCAACTGTTTGCGGCGGGCAAACAATCCCCTGCAACCGGGGGGGGGGCGGCAGCAAGCCGCAGACAATGGTTGACACGGGCAGTGGCAACTGGTTCATCGGCGCCAGGTGCCAGCACAACGTCGGCAGTCTTTGCGGGGGGCGGGTTGGGTCAGCGTGCGCTGGACAGGGACAGGGTCCTGCAAGGCATACAGGTGCCCAACCAGCCCCTGGTTCCCAACCCTCGCGGCAGACAGTGCACTGCTTGGACAGGCAATTGGGCGCGCGCTCCAGACCAACAAGGGCTTGCCGTACTGGGCACGCCAGTGTGGGGAAAAAGGGCTTGCCGTGCTGGGCACGCCGGTGAATATGCGGAGTTTGTAGCCCGCAGCCTCCAGGACATGCGTGTCAAGCACGACGCGCTGCTACAGCGCATCCCGTCTGTGCCCCACCTGCAAAGTGCGTGGCTCATCCTCCTCTTGTGCGCGCATCCGCGCAGCAACTACTTGCTCCCGCCCGCCGAGACGCTACTTACCGAACTCGATCCAGCGTCTCGGGCCTTGCTGCTGTCTCAAGCTGGGCCGGGCGGTAGCGTTGCCGCTGCCGCGCTGCCGGTTTTGATGTGTCCTGCTCCGTCGCCTGCGCCTGCCGCTGCTGCTGGAGCCTCGGGCATGCTGCTGCGGGGGTGCCCTTGACCCACTCGGTGACCAGGCTGCTTGCCCCACCACTGGCGTGCCGTCGCCCGGGTTTGTCGCGAGGCTGGCGCGCGGGTAGCGACGAACATTTTCCTTCGCGACCTCAACCGTTGTGCGACGGCTCGAGGTTGTCGCGAACGGGCTTGCCGGTTTCGGCGGCGTACAGGTAGCTGTCGACGCGACGCTTGTGAGCCCAGTGCGGCGCGATGGGACCAACCGACCCCGCGCCGACGCCGAGCCCGGCGATCGCCTGCGGGAGGCAACAGACCACAAACGCCGGAGCACCTACCCGGAGTTCCGGGCGCGGCGCGGTGCCGCCTTGTTGTCGTCGCCCTCGAGGTTGGGGGGCGCTGGGGGGACGAGACGGAAGCCTTCCTGCACCGCCTCGCCCCTCGCCAGCCCGAAAGCCCAGCGCGGAAAAGTTGCCGCCGCATACGCGCGCCGGTGGGGGCAGTTGCTGGCTGTGCGCAGGGCGCGCTCGCGGCCAGCCTCAGCTCGCTTCCTCCCGACGCTGGCGACGCCGATGCCGGGGCGCCGCCGCAGGGCGACGTCATGCGCGACGCCCGCTGGGCGCCGGACGCGAGGGCCCTTGTGTTTCACCAAAAAAACCGCGACAAGAATAACAATAACAACGACAAGATTTTACAGGACACGGGACGAAGGGAACACGAAGGGCAACACAAAAAAATAACAGCGATGAGAAAACAATCAGTGTCCGTTTCCTCATCAAGGAGGACACGGATGTGCTCAACCGTGCACCCTGCCTACTTGAGCGGACGTTCCGGAGAAACCTTGCCTTGTTCAGGCTGAGGGGCTCCGCTGGCTGCGCCTGCAGGATGTGCTCAGGCACTGGGACTTGTTGCTCCTGCGGCCGGCGCGCCGGGTCCCGCAAAGCCGCGAGTGTGGCAGCGTGGGCCGGGGCTAGCGGCGCGGCGGTGAGGGCCGCGCTGGCCGCCGAGAGCTCGCCCAAATGCGCCAACGCAAGCTCGGCGGGGCGTTTCATCGGGTCTGGTTTCTGAATGGCTTGGTCCTGGTGGCGGGCGCGGCTTGCGCTGCTGCGGCCACCACATCGAGTAGTTGTCGGCACCGACCCTCCGCGGCAAGCTGGGCTCGGCACGCAAGCTCCTCTGGCGTGAGGCGTGTCTCGCCCAGAGCAACATTCTGGGCGCGAGCAGGAGCAGCGTCCACCCCGCCGGGACCTCCGGCGCGGCCTGGATCTCTCGCACGTCGCGGTCGCTGGCGGCGGCGCCGTGCGATTGTCCGCGTCTTTCGGATGTTCGCGCTCCGCTCCTTGTTGTGCAAAGGGCGGGTTAGCATCGCGGGGCCTTTGTTGGGCTCCCCGGACCCGCTGGCTGTTGCCAGGCCTGCGCTCCAAGTTGCGAAGCCCACCGTGCAAGTGGAGCAGTGCGTCCTGCACCAGCTGCCAGATAACCATCCCGCGCCCCCCGCCTGCGCACCACCATTGGCAGGTCACACGCGGTCGCGAAGGGCTCCGGGGCGCTCAAGGACGGACTGTTGGAGCACGATGGCCACTCGTTCTTTGGGCAGCGCCGCCGCCGGTGCGCGCCGGAGGCGCGTCACCCACGTCGGCCAGGCCGCTGCAAACGCGGGATGGCACCGCCAGGCTGCGGACGCCCTGTCCTGGAGCAGGTCCGCGGCGTCCAAGAGGAGCGGAACATACAGCCACGACCTGGGCGCTGCGGGGTCTGGAGCAAAAAAGTCGGGCGGCCCCCTCCGCTGCCAGGGCACAAACCCGCACTTGGGCCCCGAGGCTTCGGACGACGACACGTCCGCTGGGCTGCCCGTTGCTTGGCCCTTTCGCGGGGTGTGTATCATCAGGTCGTCTCGGTAACTGCTGGTGATGCTTGAGATGTGTAGTGATGATCATCAGGATCATCATCATCGTCATCATCATCATCATAGCCCAACCTGGCATGCAAAGTTGTTTTTTCCCC